AAATGTCAAAGACTGTTAAGACCCATACTGACATGAAAATCCCATCTGTGTATATTTGGTAGGATCCAACTTTAAACAATGTTTACTTCAAAATAGTGGCAGAGTTAGTTCTGAGAAAAACCCAGTTACTAATGCTTGTCGTGTCATGAAACGGCAGGCACAGATCTAAATTAGGCCCCGTTTACAAGATGGGAAAACGCAGATATTTCTCTGGGTTTTGCCCTCTCATTTACACGAAAACGCCGTTTTTATCACAGAAAACGATTATTTCTAAAAACTCCGGGCAAAGTGGAGATTTCTGAAAACACCGGTTATGTGTAGCCGTATAAACTGGGAGAAACGGGGTTTTAGGTTCTCTCTTGTCGATTCTGAGGATTTTGATTGGCTTGCATGGCTTTATCCTTCTCCCTACACTGCCTTACACGTAGCCTTAGATTTAAAAGAATATTGATAATATTGAATATTCAATTGAATAACTGTCACTAGTGATGTGACATTTGAAGCGAGGCGTCGGAGCTTGTGTCGAGCAAAAAGGGGCGTGCCAGATGAAGCCGCGATTCGAGGCTTGTGTTGTTAACGTGAAAATCACGTGACTAATGACAAACGAGGCCTCGGTTTGTGTGGATACGTCATCGGTTCGGTCTGAGTGTCGTTTCCGGATAAAGGGGGTTCGAAACTCGCGCCTCCTTGTGGGTGTTGCAGGAGTAGTAGAATCAGTTGTAGTAGCGTCAGCGAGTCAGAGAGTTAGAGTTAGAGAGTTGTTTCATCGTCGTTATTGTGCAATATATGTGTTAGGGCTGTATATTATTACATTATATCAGGTTAGATTAGTTATAGTGTATTGTTAGTATTAATTATAGTAGCTATATTATAGTATTGTTATATTAATTAGATACGATTATTTGGATTGCTTTGGATTTTTGGATTTTGGACTGGACTGCTTTTTGTTTTGGATAGCCCTTTTGGAATTGTTTGCCTTTTGTGACCTCTTCCTTTTTCCTTGTAATGGAGCCAGCAAGAAAGAGGAAATCCTCCCCTGTGTGGGAGTTCTTTGAAATGGTTGCTCACAATAAGGTACAAACACAATTTGTATTATTTTTGTTATTATTATAATTTTACTGTCTTTATATAATAATCCTCACTATATGGCTGTATTATATTTAATGTCTATTCATTTATGTTTCAAGGTGAAATGCTTGCTGTGCCTAAAGGAGCTGACATACAGCAATAACACCTCCTCTATGCTCAGGCATTATCGAGCACTGCACAAGCATGCACAGACTATTAACAATCCACACAGTAGTCAAAGTAATTGATAATAATCATTAAAAAACATTATTTAAATAATGTTTTAGGCTCCTACAATACACCTGCATTTTATTTTATTATAGATTCCAAAAAAGAAATGTTGAATGAGGCCCTGGTGAACATGGTCATCAAGGACTCCCGAGCCTTTTCCATTGTGGATGATGATGGATTTAGGGAGCTCCTGCATGTGTTGGATCCCACTTATGCGATCCCAACTCGAAAGGTATGTGATTAATAAAGTGGTTCATCATTTTTTAAGAAGTTAAAAGTAAGAGTAACTGCATTTATTTCTATCCACAGGCTTTGAAGGTCATGGTTGATCATAAGTACAAGGAGGCTAAGGAGAAGGCAAGAGAGCAGTTGCAGAAAGTTCAGGCTATAAGCCTTACCTCTGACATGTGGACATCGCTAAACATGGATGCCTACCTAGCATTGACTTGCCATTTTATAGACAATGACAAGCTCTGCACTATTTTACTAGGTGTAGAGCATTTCCCTAAGAGCCATACTGCTGAGAACTTGGCTACTGGACATATCAAGCTCATGGAGGAGTGGGGCATAAAGGATAAAGTTAAGTGCCTGGTAACTGATGCAGCAGCCAACATGATAGCATGTGTACGATCACAGAATGTTAGGCATGTGATATGCATTGCACATGCACTAAACCTTATTGTGAGGAAATCTTTTGATGACATCAGTAGCTTCAACGACATTCGAACCAAATGTAGGAAACTTGTGACCTATTTCCGAACAAGCACTACAGCAAAAGAGAGACTGGCCCAAGTACAGTAGCAGATGGGGAGACCAGTTCTGAAAATAATTGAAGTGGACACTCGCTGGAACAGCACTTATAACATGCTGGAACGTCTCTATCAGCTGAGAGAGCCAGTGGGGGCAGCCCTGGCCTCTCTAAAGACCGACATCACCCCTCCTACAGCCCTGGAGTATGAGGCAGTCCAGGATGCTTTACATGTTCTTGGCCCTTTCCACCAGGCTACAGTAGAGCTTTCGGGAGAGAAAAGGGTGTCTACCTCCAAAGTGATTCCTTTGATGAAGATGCTGAATCACGCTGTAACGACTAAGCTAGAAGGCCTCAAGTCCAATCCAGCAAGGCAGCTGGGTGACAGCCTTGTACGAAGGGTCAGGGAACACGCAGTACATTTAGAATCAATCAGTGTGATGACCATACCCACGTTGTTGGATCCCAGATTAAAAAAACTGGCATTCTTAAGTCAAGGGAACCTGCAAGAAGCCATATCAAGATTAAAATCTGAATGCGCTACTGTAATCATAAGTTCTGATCTCCATTCTGCTTCCACCAATACACCCCCAACTCAGCTGCCAGCCTCGTCAGAAGCAGGTCAATCCACAGACAACAGTAAGTACTATATGTGTTTATTGTGTGAATGTTCACATTAGTGATTAGTATTGTGAACCATTGTTAATGGAGTTTTATTTCTTTGTACCTCTATTATTAGGTGACATTTGGTATCTGCTGGATAGCACGGTTGATCACAGTAGAAGGAGCTCAAGTGCAACAGCAGATGCTACTGTAGAAGTGGACCGATATTTATCTGAAGTGAATCTCACAAGATCTGAGGATCCACTGGTATATTGGGCTCAACATAAACATCAGTATCCTCATTTATACCAGCTGGCCCTGGCATTTTTATGTTCCCCCGCATCCTCTGTTCCATACGAAAGGATCTTTTCCAAGGCTGGAGAGGTTCTGTCCAAGAAGAGGAATCGTCTAAGCCCCAAGACACTTGAAAAAATTCTGTTCCTCAATAAAAATCATTTTTAATCCTTCCTTCGTTCCTCTACGTCCCCAGTCCCATAAGCACAACACTGCACAAAAATAGTAACAGTTCAATGCACAAAATCACCAGAAACAATTCTTAACCTTTACCACCCCACACTTTTCTGTTGCGCTTTAATACACTCCCTCCACCATAAGCACTGCACTCAACAGTGTCACTTTTGTTGTTCATACTGTCACTATCCAAACCATTTATGAATAATTAATTAACTCTCTCTCTCTGGGTGTGTGTGTGTGTGTGTGTGTGTGTGTGTGTGTGTGTGTGTGTGAGTGAGTGAGAGAGTTGTCTCTGCAGAAGTAAATTCAGACAGAGAAATATACATATTTTATACCCAGGCAATGGACAAATGTCTGCTCAGGTATTTTTATTATTGCAAATGAAAGGTTACAGACATTAACAGTGAGAAGAAAATAAATAAATAAATAAAACAGAACAAGGGGGTATACTGACATCATAAGTCTGCTCAGGTCATTGTTTCAGAATGAATTAATTGGTCTGCTATTTCTTTGTACAGTAGCTAGGTGTCACTAGTGAGCAATGCTGAATGAAGCTTCGAGTAATGAACCTTTGGGTGAAGCAATGGTCTGCGAGGTCTCAGAGGTTCAGGAAGCCTCATTTTGCCATCACTAACTGTCACGAACCACACCAGGGAACACAGGAGAAGATCCAATGGGCTCTATGCACGGCGGTATTTCCGGTGAAGGTCTAAGGATGCTGGATTACTTCCGCCGATCGTAGAGTCCAATGCTATACCGAGAATTTATATTGGTTTTTATACTCTATTGCTATACTAAAGAAACGTTAGTCACAAAAACAGACAAAACAGACACCCCTCATTTTGTTTATGCTTCTTTGTTTATTATATTAAATAAACATAACTATATATAAAATTACATCTAAAAGGTATTAAAGTTTCATTTCAAAGACGAGAGGACAGTACATTTTGAAGACTCTGCCATAATACCGTTTTCCTCGGTTTTCCTCCGCTTTAAATCTCCCCAACCAGAAACGCACGAGCATCCTTGCGTCAAACGCGGAAGTTATGCGTGCATATAGCCCATTGCAGAAAGTATGTTTAATTAGGGAAATCCGTTACTCAAAATCCAGTCAATAGTCAATATCATAATCCATCCAAAACAAGAACATAAACAGGAACACAGAAGTGGCGTGATAAATACAAGGACTCCGTGACATACTAAAACAGACAGGGTTATATACACAGGGAAATGACAATGCTAATGGGGAACAGGCTGAGTGCAATGATCAGTGATAAGAGACAGCTGAGTGCAATGAAAAGACAAGGATCATGGGGGATGTAGTTCAAGAGTGTGATGGACACCGTGGGGAAGGAGGACATCTAGTGGTGACCCAAGGAACATAAACCAGACACTGTGACAATAACTGTGTAGTGTATATACTAGTCTTGCATTTTTTTATCTTATCAATATAATTTTAATAAACTGCCTACTATTTTCCTGTAAACCAAACTGATCACTCGAAGACAACAATGATTTAAATCTCAAAATATATTTTTATTACTAATTTTACCCAAACTTAAAGGGCCTCTGTAGCAGCTGGGTCCCATTTCATGACAGCAGCTAAAATCAAAGCAAAAAAATCCACATGTAAAATAAATAACAAACGCCACAGTTGTGGTCTAGATGAAAATTTGAGTACTCGATTAAATGAAATAGTTATTAAATCAAGTCAACTTACATCAAGCCTGATATTCAGCATTCCACACACACACACACACACACACACACACACACACACACACACACACACACACACACACACACACACACATACATATACATATTATACACACTTTTTTTTTTTTTATTGCCATAATATGAAGCTTACCTTTTATTGCTGAAAACAATTTCTTGTCTTCAATTCCAATTTGATCCTTTTTGCCCTTCCCCTTCATATTAAAAAAGGTCATCAGCTGATTGGTGAAGGGCCTAAATCCAATCCAAGACAAAAATAATATGCAATTATTACTTAAACACACACACACACACATGTAGCATGATTGTCCATGCATGGTGACCGCAGGCTGCATTTCTCATATAAGTTGAATTTTTAAAACTTTTTTCCGGCAGGAATTCAAAATAAATGACAAAAAAACAAACAGCGATTTTGATAGAGCATTGGCATTATGCACAGCCATAAGATTTTTACCTTCGCCTGAAAACAACACTATACAATATAACCAATACAGATCTCTACATCAGACCTCTTGCTTGGCTGAGATGGACAAAGGGCTGCATAAATTAACCATCGTCAGCCTTAATGTGTGTTCACTGTGCCCAAGTGCACAGTCCTGCTCCTTACTTAAAACATCAACTAAACCAAACCCCCAAATCAAGCACCAAATGAAAAAGAAAAATGGGGACACAAGAAAACCAAAGCAGAGCTGAACTAACATGGAAAACTGTTCTGGTCAAATGTCTAAAGACCTGTGTCTGTTAAGTTAATGTGTAAATAAATACCTGTCCATCACTTTGTGCGTGCAGTCTTTTACATCTTTCCCCCCGACTCTTGCCAGCTGACAAACCTATAATAAAAAAAACACATGGAAATATATCAAGGGTAAAAAATTGAGAACATTGTACGGATAGAGAAAAAAGTTCAACCAGTGTGGTCCAATTGTTTGCAGCCCTGAAAAACTGTCAATTTTAAAAATTATATGTCTAGTCTTGAGATAATTGAATGATTTGTTTAACTCTAATATCACATACTTTCCAACACATTGTATCAGCAGGTAAAATACAAAATTCAGATAGAATTTGCTAGAACGATATTGAAATGATCAATATGATCTGTATTACTGTGTTTCATATATCTTCTGGCACAAAATGCCGACTGCAGTCAGTGGTGTGTCTCCTTATAACGAAATTAACACGCCTAATCTTTCGGACCCGAATCACCCTGACTGACTCGCAGCTTGGCACACAACAAAAACTCCTGCTGTTCGGATGTTGCCATTTCTGATATTATAATATTCCAACATTTAAATTAAAAGAAGTACACTAAAGTTTGATCAGAAATAAAAATTCTATTATAATAAGCTAAACTTAAGTTACCTAAGAGATCACCTACCGCTGCAGATGTGTACTGAAGTGAAAAGCGGAAATGATTAGACCCGTTTTTCGGTTAGAACGCTTAGCGCACCGCATAAACCCCCTATTGGAAGAGGGTGAAAAATATTTTACCAAGGTTTCAAATTTGTTTTTCTCCAAGAAGAGAAGCCTCCTCCCTCTCGAACTCTTCCAAGGTGTCAATCTTGCTTATATCAATCCCAGACTTAGGTAAGCTCCTCTGGAGTTTTTTGACCTCATCAGTGAGAGTCACCAGCTTTGTCACCACTATTTTCTGGAATTCTGGCAATAATGAGAAATTAAGAAAAAAATGATTACTCAAGGCATTTCAGCCTTTCAGTAAAAGAGTGCTCTCTAGCAATCCCAGAAAAATGAATGACTATTCAATTAGTTACTTAACACTTTATTCAACAGGGAAACCTTAACCCTGTATTTGACTAATCAGTTTCATTAAAGAACAATTTTATTAAGAGTTCTAGACCAAATGTCATAAATGGCAAAGCAACAAGATGAAAACCTTGAGTCTGATTAACCAAACAGTTACAAAGAGAATGCAATGTTATAATACATATTAGTCTGGGTTTCACATGAAAATATTTTTGTACTTACTCGCTTCTGACAGGGGGAATGTGGTTGGCACAGCCTTACTGTAAATGGGCCTTGCATGTGAAAAAACTAAGCAGGAAAGAAAAAAGTGTGTGAAGCAATCAATATGTTTAGAATATATGTGCAATGTGCCTCACTGAGTGATACAACCAATGACATTCACCATCTAAGGACCTGCTCTCCACGGCTTGGGACCTGGGTACACCTGAGAAACCCAAACCACCAACATTAGTCAGTCCAGTAGCAATAGTATTCCTCATGATAATATGATATTCAATAAGACAAGCCAAATGTAACTGGCAATACTCACGACTACTTGAACTGTCCCGGCCCATGGACCTGTATGAACCTGTGCAACCCAAATGTATCCATTATCAAAAGTGATAATGACCTATGCTGATTTGATATTCATTAAGACAAGCCAAATGTAACTGGCAATACTCACGACCACTTGAACTGTCCCGGCCCACGGACCTAGACCTGGACCTGGACGAACCTGTGCAACCCAAACCAATAGTCAATAGTTTTAGTTGCCTGCATCCTGATTGATAATATAACAATGACATTTTAAACTCACCACTAGTTGACCTGTCGCGGCCCGCAGACCTGGCTATACCTAAACAACGCAGAGTTGTTTAGGTATAGACAACTAATAACAACTAATCGGCGTTCGTAGATCAACTGGTAGAGACTCTTTTTCAAAGATGGCTCCTGTCTGTATACGCGAAGTTGACTGTATGTAAAAAATATCTTCTTATTAAACTGTCTGGACACTGACAAAGTTCTCAATGCTTCGGTTTGAAGGTAGGGACCCTCATTATGCTACCGTGTTAGTGTGGGGCTATTTTCAGCCTTGTTAGTGGTATTAACAAGCGATTTTTATTTGTCATTACTACATGCCCAATATACTAGCGTTATACTAGCTTTATAGGCTAAACTGTTTTTAGAGATAAAACTATTTACATTCGATAATCATGAAAACAAATCTCAGATAACGGTTGACTAGGTAACAATGTGTAATTAGACCAAAGGTTCATTTTGCGCCGGAGTTCTCCTTTAAAGTCAAATATAATTTGAATAGTAAAAAAAAACAGTACTATTGAAATACTAAAATTACAAAATGCTTTTCTCATGTCACGTTTGATGAACAATTCAAGTTAGCGAGAGTGAGAAACGCAAGGCAATGTGAGGTCTTTAGATGTACCGAGTAACGTTAGTACAGGAGGAGTGACAGGCTGCGGGATTCGTAAGGATGGGAAATAGCTTTAACATTAACTTTAAAATCGTCATCCACCGAGCCAAAATGCTTGTTATCATTAGTCAGCTAATTATTTTTTCCTCACTACATTGCGACTTAAAGAAGCTTAGCTGGGAGCTTCATGGAGACAGCTAAAGTTAATGTTAGCTGCCCTACAGCTGTCAGTTAGCTTCGACTTCATATATTACCTAATAGCTGTATTCTCAGGAACATCACAATCAATAAATGAGTAATACTTATTTAAATATTTAAAAAAAGACAAATGAAATTTGAATGGTATTAAATTGGAATATTGACAGCTCTACTCACCACTATTTGATCTGTCACGGCCCACTGACAACAAAGACAGACAGTTTAATACAATCACAAATAACTTAAAATTTGAATCTGGTTAAAATGTGCATGGTCATCTAAGCAACAACTCACCATTTTTTGAAATATTGATTGGTGGGGTGGGAAAGACTGGAATTATAGGACTGGCATCTTATCAGTAAATAAGGGGTATAAAACAAATTAACCTACAGTTTATTTAATTTTGTTATTAAGCGCAGGCAACCTTTCAATGCACATTAAATTAATGCCACAAGAAACATTTCTGTACCTCCTTTCCTCTCTTCTTTATCCTCCCCCTCAGCAGACGCCTCAGACAGGTCAGATCCTTTGAATATTAAAACACGTTACAGTTGACTGTTCGAAAAGACCCCTTAGTTACTGTCGCCATGTACCAACAAGCTATGCCGCTCTCATGTTCTCACACAGTTAAAAACACATCGCAGAGCAGACAGGAGACTGACAACACGCTGACAGACAGGACAGACCAGGTTACTTTTGATATTAAACATATTAAACAAAGTCTCACCTTACAAATTTGGTCATTTTTTAAAATAAATGTAAACAATAATTATCGTTTTGTGGCTCTTTAATGTGTCGTGACCGATCGCTGTAGAGGATCAATTAAAGCTGCTTGTGAACCGATCATCTCTCCATTCTAGCATAAACATGAATGAACATCAGAAGGAATGTTGTTTTAACCGCGGAAAGGCGTCAGTACACTCCGTTTCTCAAGTTCAAATCATCCCATGTTAATCTACTATCTCTCCTGACTGCTTTGTCGGAGAAAAAGGCGGATGGCGAAGTATGATTGGTCAGATCACCTGTCAATCAAGCTCCCTGCGAAGGGTCAATTGTAACATGAGTTTGCATGTTTTCACTATTCAACCAATGATGGGGACATACCTTCAACAAAATCTTCAAAAGTTTTTGTTTTTTTCTTTCTCTTTTGCACTACAACCTCTCCGTCTTCATCTTCATCTTCAAATTGTTCAGCTTGGCTGGTGTGATCATGTTCTTCACACTCACGGAGACTTTCTACAAAGACAGCATGCATGTCATCAAAGCTTATATCAATGTATAATCACATAACTTCTCAGATTTGCATCAAAATATAAGAGGTTACCTGCGGTAAATTTCACTTTCACCAATGGGAAAGTTTCCCAATCCTCCTTAGGAGCCACATGGTTGTCGAAACAATATTTAGCCCTCGTCTTTGGACATCTAAGGGTTTTTTCAGCAACGTTAACCCAGGCATCAGGGATGGTCCCCTCCATTTCCTTCCCATTTTCATTCCACACAGCTCTGACGAAAAGCATAACCTGCAACAAAAAAAATAATATAATAAATAAATGAATGTTATATATATATATATCACAATCGCGATGTCAAGAAAGACTATGAAACAAAGTACAAAGAAAACAGTGAAAATTACTCACTGTTCTTGACTAAAAAACTTTTGTAGCTTTAATAAGGATTAGTCTATATTTCATTTATAATTTATGCAGTGCAGACTGTTTGATAACTGAATTCAGTTTCGGTATATGTCCAGCCTTAGACAGTAGGGCCACAGGTAAATATGACATTTATTTTTTACTGTTGTACTATTGAGACAAATAACAAGCCGACAGTAATGTAAAGATGTCAATATTTTAAAAAATAAATAAATATTATTTTAATTTGAAAACACAGTGCATTTAGTTGTTGCTTGTTTCTAGATTGAGTTGAGAAATACACATTTCATATATATACATACCCAGTATATACCCAATGCACTTTATGACTTGCCAATCTTCAACATGAATGTTCAATGCCATGCCGCAGAGGAATCATGACAGAGCCATTGTTGAAAGATAGACAGGCTACTTTTCGTCCAAGGTCTGTTTCCTTGACTTCTTTTCTTTGAAATCTATGTCCATTCCCAATGTAAGCAATGCTCAAGAGCTTTGACGAACATGGTTTGTGAAACAGTGCGGTAGTGTGTCTCTGTTTTACCACATCGCAAACAACCGTCCCCATCTCCCCTCCTCTCTTGAACAAAAGCAAACCTCTCATCGTCCAGAAGGAAGCAGCTGTCTCTCCTTTTTGTTGAAATGTACATTTGGGGCTTCGCTTTTGGCCCTGCACTGGAATTTCCCTGGGCATGTTCGATTTCGACCAGGCATTTGGACACCTGCGCTAATGGATTTTGGCCAGTCCTGACCAATCTTTTGATCTGCTGCAAATAATTCTCATATGGAAAGCAACAAATGTCATTTAAAGAGCACCTGAAACGAGAGACATCTTCATGGATGTGTAACAGGGCATGCACATTGTACACAGAAAATGTTTTTCCATACAGTGCAGGGCGGCTAGACACAAAGTGCCTCATCAGTTCAGTAGAAAAATCCAAATAGGCAGCTCTTGTCCTGTCATCTGAGTCCAACATGATGGATACTGCCACGGTCAATGTCACAAAATGAGCATACAGCTGTGAGGAGACAGTATTTTTGAGAACTATGGGTCCCGTGTAAAGAAGAAACTGACGGAACTCTGTGGCTTTCCACCTGTCCAACTCCTGAAGGCCACGGGGCTGTCGCGCAAACTCGCTAGGCATCTGGCCTCGTATCACGTTCAGTTTTTGTGAGATTTCAATTTTCTGTCTCACAGAGAGCCTACACAGTTTTGGGCCTCTAGTCAGATACACCAACAGCCGCCTAACAACACCCAAGCAAATCATATGCATATAGTCTAAAACAAAGGCACTGATACAGGGTATCCCGGCAGATATTAAAGGGCTAGACCCATTTTGATGGCGGGAATACTCTATCTGACTAAATGCTTCATCTGTGCGCAAGGTGGATGTCAGCTGATGGTACCTCTCACAACTGTCATATGCAGTATGACCTTTAATGCATTTTAAATATGCTTTTGCCGGTGCATCACAGATAAAGGTACGAATATTTATGGCATACTTTTTCTCACAAAACACCAGGCCATTCTGTTGGAGATTATTGAACTCCTCCAAAAAGTCATGGAGATACTCATCAAGGGGCTCAGGCTTGCTTTCCCCGCAGTATAATGCCACAATAAATGGATTGAAATTGCTAAATGTCACCAGTATTGGCCAGAACAGGACTTTACTACTTTTAAAGATTGGTAGACCATCAATGTTGACATCCAAACTGACCGTACTGTGTTGACGTCTGAAAGCATCATTTTGACACAGTACACGGGAAATGCCCCCCTCCAAGCCATAGTATATATATACTGTCCATTGCATTTTGAATGGCTGTCAATGACTTGAGGAGTGGCTAGTAATGTGCGTGTATCTTTGGGGAGTACATGTCCATGATCCCTTAGAATCTGCAATAATTCATTTAGGGACCTATTAGTAATTTGGTGTCTTGTACCCCACTCTTGCCAGTCATCGCCTAGGTTTCTAACTTCGACCTCTGGTTCGGGATTCAAAATCTCCACATCAGAGTCACACATTCCGGTGTCTGTGTCAAAGTCTGAACCATCAGTGGTAACACTGGTGCTGTGTTCATCAGTATTGTTTCCAGCATCATCATTGATTGTTTCCTCTCTGTCATTTTTCGTCACTGCGTTGTCAATTGTCACCGCGTTATCGTCAGCCTGGAGAAGTTCATTGATGTCTGCTTTCCGTTTTCTCCACATCTCTATTTTGTCTGTGCAATATATGAGAGGCGCGCTTTGTGAAAGTGCACAGCACATAAAACAGCGCGCATGAAGACGCGTTCTCTCGTGTCTTCCGCTTAAAGAATGCTATCAAGAAGAATCGATTTTCTATTCCTAGTCCTACTAACTAGTCTATAAAAAATATTTCATTCATGTTATTGCATGTGAATAAATACGTGTATAACTATAGGGCTATGTGAAATATGTCATTTTTTGACATTGGCGTTT